TTTTTTGGTTTTTCAAGACAGGGTTTCTCTGTGTCATTTTGGTGCCTATCCTGGATCTCGCTCTGTAGACCAGGCTGGCCTCGAACTCATAAAGATCTGTCTGGCTCTGCCTCCCGAGTGCTGGGATTAAAGGCGTGTGCCACCATGCCTGGCCTGTGCCTAGTCTTATTGCATCATTGCTGTACCATGTTTGGTTGATATCCCCGGGAGGTCTGCCCTTTTCTGAAAAGAAGCAGAACAAGAGTGGATCTGGGTGAGAGAGGAGGCAGGGATGGAGGCACTGGGAGGAGTGGAGGGATGGGAAACTAAGGTTGGAATGTAACATATGAAATAAGAATTTAAAAGAACAAAAGACTGGAGCTGAAGGTGCAGCTCATGTCAGAGCCCACACCTGCATACAGTCTCCTGGGTTCAATCCCTGACATCGTAACAACAGCAGAAAGTAAGCAAAGCTTACTGTGAAGTTACAGTCATTGAACAAGTTGAAATTTACATAAGAAACAAACCAGTGGGCAGAACAAGTGAACCTCAGAAGAAGTGAACAAGTGGCGGCATAGACACGGGCCCATGTGTATGCTGTCACGTGATTAATGACAAATACGACCCCGTGCAAAGGGAGAAGATGGGATTCTCCATAAATGTTGCTGAACCATGTAGATAGGAAAATTCTTCTTTATATCCTATCCCTACCTCAGAGTGCACACAAAAGTCAGTTCCAGTTTTACTTTAGATTTAAGTGGTAAATGTAAAAGCACCCAGTTTTAGGATCAAAGTCAGAAAATACCTTTATCTTCTTGAAGAGCTTTTTTAAGATTTATTCATTTTTAATTTACGTGTGTGTGTGTGTGTGTGTGTGTGTGTGTGTGTGTGTGTTGCCAGCATGTATATATGTGCACTACATACGTGCAGTGCCTCTGGAGGCCAAAAGAGGATACCCAGAAACTGGAGGTACAGATGGTTATAAGCTGCCATGTAGGTGCTAGGAATTGAACTCAGGGCCTCTGGTCTGATGGCTCTTAACTGTTGAGCCATCTCTCCAACCCCAGGTGAAGATTTCTTAAACAGGACATACAAAAAAGTACTTACCACCAAGAGAAAAGTCCCAAACCAGAATATATTAGCAAGAAGGACTCAGAAGATTGATATTTATTTTAAAGATCTCCTCCAGATCAACAAGCAAACAAGCTCTACAACAGAACAATGGGGAGAAAGTGAAAGACATTGCAGAAAAGAGACCATCTAAACAACCACTAACTAAGCAGAACAGTGCTCAGCATTTGGGAACTGTGAAAGAAGACTATACTGTAACCCTTCCTCCTCTCCTCAACCTTCACCTCGGTAGACACACGCCTACCAGAATGGCTACAGTGAAATAGAGCCAGTATTGAAGAAGGCAGCTAGAACCAGTAGGAGACGAACATTTAAATGCCATGTGCTGGTCTGCTAACTTCAGCTCAACTTCTCAAGAACCTGTTGAAGAAAGTATATTTGCCTACATCACCAATAGGTGAGAAACTAAGGCATAGATGAATGGGCGCCAAGTGGCACAATTGCTTTGTGGGTAAAAGCACTTGCTGTGTGTGTGCCTAAAGACCTGAGCTCAGTCCTCAGAATGCACAGTGGAAAGACAGAACCAAGTCCCAAAAGTTGTCCTAGGACCTCCCCGTGTGTGCAGTGTCCAGATCCAAACTCACATAACACACACACACACACACACACACACACACACACACACACACACACACAAAAGAGGGGGTGGAGAATAAATCAATAAATAAAATTTTTAAATTAATTTTTTTGTTAAAAAAAGTGTTTTGTCCTAGATAGCATACTTTGTTTCGTAGATGAGTTGACATGGTCTGACCCCCCTCCCCCCCCCCCCGGGCCTGGCTCTCAGTCACCTGATCTGCTCTGGCACACAGGCTGTGAAGAGCAAGAGGTGAAAGTCTTCACGCTGCACATCCAGTGGAGCTGACTGAGATCCCTGAGGTCACTTGGAGTGCTATGGGATCAGGGCCTGTGGAGAATTGGGAGCAGAAGTAATGTCACCACACAAGACTGGACCAAAACCTTCCTAGGTGAGAGGGGTGGGATGGGAAGCACAAAGTCCATCTCATCCTAACATGACCCATCTGCTCCCACACTTGAGTGTGCCAGGCCATGGCTTTGGGCTGAAAAGGCAGAGAAATTCCATGGAAACTGAGTTGGGAAATTATGACCCATCTGGCCACATACTGGAGTTCTCAGTAAATAATGACTGGAGGGAGGAAGGAGGAAGTAATGAGAGAGAGCTGACATGGTGGCCAGTCAGGGAAGAAGAGCAGGCAATGAGGTAAGGCGCTACTCGGGGGAGAGTGGTAGCATGTGCACACACAAAAACTGGATGTAATGTCCTAGCTACTGCTCACCACCAGTCTCACAGACACCTGGATCTTGCCAACATCCTGAAGATGAGAAGCTGCCTCATACCTAGTGGGTCCACAGGACTGTTACTGAATGGCTCTTAACTGGAAAGAATCAGATCAGGAAGCCCCATGGGCAACTAAGGATCTGATCAGGAAGCCCCTTGGGCAGCCGAGTCCAGAGAGTCAGGATTCCAGACAGCTCCTTCTCCAGAATAGTCAAAGGGTTTCTAAGAGTTCAGGGCCTGAGTCCTCTGACTTCTTCCAAAGAGCAAGCTAGCACTTCCCCTGAAGGCCTTACCCCAAGGATCCTGGGATGCAGACAGAGGGAGACAGCCATTTCAGCCTTCTCCAATGGGACAAGCTGTTGAGGTTCTACAAGCCCTGACTCCACCCACCCCATTTCCCCCAACCTGTGCCAAGATGGAGTTCCCTGAATACTATCAACAAGAACACGAGAGAGAGAGAGAGAGAGAGAGAGAGAGAGAGAGAGAGAGAGAGAGAGAGAGAGAGAGAGAGAGAGAGAGAGAGACCCCTGGGGACAGAGAAGAAGAATCAAGCCACAGAGGAAGAGTTGATGATGTATTTCCTTCTCCAGGCTGCTGGAGGGATATGAGCAGCTCAGAGCAGAGGAGATAGGACCTGAACACTGCTAGACACACTGATGACTTCAATCTTTATTCTGATTTCTCACTTAGGACCTAAACCCTAAGTCTTCCATTCTCCACCTACAAGATATCTACACAGTGTCTTCTGTGATAATTAAAGAGTCTGCTGACCTTATGCCAGGTCTTGAATCAGGTTCTGGCAAGAAACATCTAGAGGTCAGCAGTGTCACCCCATGGGGTGATCCCCCAGGGACTCACATCTCACAGGTGTAGAGGCAGAATTGGGATCTAGAAAGTTCTGGTGCAAGTTCTCCAACACTCCCTGTTATTCCGACTCAGTCCTTTTGGTAGTAACCTCTACCCTCTGTAGTTGCTGGGAAAGTTAAATGTGACAGCTGAGCACCCTGGCAGGCGTGCTGGCCAACATTCTACAACCGTGATTGCCGTCCCAGACCTGTCTGTGCTCTGTTCTTCAACTATTTCAACGGAGCTTGAACTGTGAGGCCCTTCCCAGTCAGACCACCAGAACAACTGATAACAGTTTAGAAACTATAAAACAATATTTCAACAAACTACACTAAAAACAAAGGCTGCATGCCCAGAAATGTGGCTCAGAGACAAAGTACTCGGCTAGAATGCTTGAACCCCAGCTTTGATCCCTAGAGCTAACAACAAACAAACAAAAGAATAAATAAATAATGCAAAAAAAAATCACAAAACTCCCAGCACTCAGGAGGCAAAGAGGCAGGAGGATCTCTATGAGTTCAAGGTCAGCCTGGTCTATAAGGGGAGTTCCAGGCCAGCCAAAACTATATAGTGATACCCTGTCCCCTCCCCCAAAAAAAGAAATTAATTGATTAATTAAAAACTCAGTGACACTAAATGCTCAAAACTCTTTCTATGCCGATTATTTGAATACATTTTACTTAGTCTGTGTCTGTGCGCTGACAGGTGTTTGGTCTACGGGATTTGTTTGGTAATCAGTCGAAGGGCAAACACATTCAGGAACAGAGTGTTCCTGCTTGACTTTGGCCATGATGGGGGTATTTATACTACAGAATTTGGGAACAATTCAAATTCAAAGAAAGAAAAGAGTAGAGGGAGACAGAGGGAGGGCAGAAGGGAAGGAGGAAGGGAGGGGAGGGGGAAAAAAGGAGGGAGGGAGGGAGGGAGGGAGGGGAGAAAGCCAGTCCAGAAGCCTTTCCAGCACTAACTCTTCCTACACGTCACTGACCCTCACTTCAGCATCCCATCACTATGTAGCATCCATCACTAGATGGACCAGGTTGGCCTCAAGGTCGTAGAGATCAGCCTACCTCTGCCTCACTTCAGTTCTTAAGAGGCAGTCCAATCCAGAACAGGATTCATCTCATCTTAGACAGACAAGGAAACTGGGGTTAAGAGAAATGGAGTCACTTGCCTCGGGAAGGAATCAATCTATGGCTGTATATAGGATGGAATGTCAGCCATCTTGATTTTTAAATATCAGAAATACTTGAAGATAGTCAAGTGTGGTTCTACCTGCTTGGTTTTTTTTTGTTTTTTTTTTGTTTTGTTTTGTTTTTTTTTTTTTGTTTTTTTTTTCAGACAAACGAATCCAGAAGATAAGAGGAATCTGGCAAAGTTCACGCAACTAAACAATGGGAAAATCAACACAAAAACCTGGCCGCTTGCCTCCTGAGTCAAGGATGAATCTGAAAAGTACATAGTGTTTAATTACCTAGGTTTATGGTAATGGCTGCACATGAACTCTGACCAGCATGTCCCCTGCTGCTGAGGGCCTTTCCCACTCCACCTTGGGCATGAGGCTGCTAGCCCAGAGGTCAGCGTGAGGAATAAGGGAGACTCTAGAAGTTTCTTTCTCAATGAGATGAGCCTGCAGACTCCAGAGAGGTGAGAAGCCTTGAGAAGGGCGATGCTAGAGGCGAACTGCAATCCTAACTCCCTGCTTGACCCAAGCTGACAATGCCTCCTTGAAGTGCCAGTGTGAGAGTCAGCTGATTCTGGTAAAAAGTGCACTTGAGGAAGGTTTTCTGGGTTAGTGTCTGGAGAGGGAAGATGAAGGGGGTGGGCAGCTGTGAGGATCCCAGAGTTTGAGAGCAAGTTTGAGAGCATTGAAATGGTCCCTTGGGACATCACACTGAATGTCACAGCTTATAGAGCACTTTCACTATTTTCTCACAGTAGGCATGGGAGAGAGGAGCTGTGGTCCCCTCTTTGACATCACTGTGATGAAGACGACAACAACGACACTAATCACTTACCAAGAACAAAGAAAGAAGAGGATCCCAGTACCGAGTCTGATCACTTTGCTACTCTCTGCATCAGCAAATGACTGCAAGGTCAGTACATCCCTACTCTTGAAAAGTGAAGTCCCTCCCACACACAAAAAATTCTCCATAGCCAGATGTGTTAGAGTTGGAGTCCAGAACCTTGATGTCCTGCCTCTCAACTCTACACCCCATCCATCATCCCTGGCTATCCCTGACGCTTTGTTTTCTAAGAGGTTGAGCAAGATCTGTCCATCTGCCCAGCAACAATTGTCTAATCATGAGGTGTTTTCTAAGAGGCTGAGCAAGATCTGTCCATCTCCCCAGCAACAATTGTCCAATCATGAGGATCTCATCCTGTATGCCTTCAGCATCTTGAGTTTGTTTTTGTTGGTTTTTTTTAATCCCCAAGACTATGAATCTTGTTTGAGCCAACAAGGGACATAGAGTGCTAAGCTGGTAGAATCACAATCTCAATGACAATAATGACAGAAATATCAACCAAAATTACATCATAATAATGGTGATAACAGCAAAATCTCCTAGCTTGTCTCTTTCTATGTGCCCAACGTTCTTTTAAGTGTCTACTTGCAATAACTCATTTAATATCCAAAACAGAGCTATGAACTATGGTGTAGGTAAACTGAGTTATACTCCTTAACAAGCTGGGATTTAGCACGTGGTAACACTATGGTAAATTGCTTAATAACTAACTCTACAAAGAGTGAAGGTAACTGATGGAAGCAGACACAGAGACCCACAGTCAAGCACTTGGCCAAGCTCCTGGAGTTCAGCTGAAGAGAGGGAGGAAGAATTATTGGAGCAAGGGGAGTCAAGATCATGATGGGAAAAAACACAGAGACAGCAGATCCAAGCTAGTGTGAGCCCACAGACACTGGACTGACCGCTAGGGAGCCTATATGAGACTAGGCCCCCTGAATGAGGGTGACAGTTATGCAGCTTGATGTGTTTGTGGGTCCCCTGGCAGTGGGACCAGGAGTCATCCCAAGTGCGTGAACTGGCATTTTTAGAGCCCGTTTCCTATGGTGCCATACCTTACTCAACCTTGATGCAGTGGGGAGGGTTTTGGGCCAGCCTCAACTCGGTAAGCCTGCCTGTGTTGACTACCCAAGGGAGGCCTTACCCACTATGAGGAGTGGGTGGGGGTGGGGTGGGCAGAGTTGGGGGGAGTGGGAGAAGGGGAGGAAGGAGGAACAGCGGGCAGTATGTAAAATGAAAAAAACTTTAAATAAATAAGTAACTTTAAAAAAAACCAAGAGTGAAAGTAAAGAGAATGAAAGTAGGTCACAGTCTGTATTGCTGAGGCCAAGCACGACCTCCATCCCCGACATCTTAGCTGCTTGTGTCTGATCCCATTGGAGGGTGTGGAGGGAAAGTGACTTAACTGATATACACAGAGAAATCATCTATCCGATTAATTAACCAACTCTTTTTCTATTTAGACCCTTTTGTGATCACTCATATGAGACACAATATTTTTTTTTACTTTTTCCTGTTCAAGGATGGCTATCCACAGATCTCTCCCCATACTCATGCTCACAAATTATCTAATTGAGTTCTATCCAAGTCCCTGACTATCTAGCCGCACATCCAGCCAAGTCATGGCCAGTGTGCTTTAGTCAATATAGACTTCTACCTGTAAGCCATTTATTCTTCTAAACCAAAGGAACAAACAAATGCCCTGCTCAGTGTCCTGTCCCCAGAGGGTTTCTCTTCACCACTGTCCTCAGGCATGTTCCAGAAAGACGCATGGTGTTCTAACTATTAACTTGCAAGTAGGGCAGGCACATCACATAGAACCATCTGTAACCAGCATGCACTTGTTCCTACTCAGTCCATTACAGAGAGCTCACCAGGGAGACCATAAGTTCAGGCCAAGGAGGGGAAAGTAGCAGGCCACTTGGACCACTTCCTCATGCAAGCTGCTCTTGCTTCCAGGGACTATTTGTGCTCATCATGAATGCACATTGACATTCGATGGTGTGTACCTGCTGCCAGCTTTGTGACCTGAAAAGTCAGGTAACACTGAGTTTATGATGTGTATGTAGTAACTTTGGGAGTTTTAAAGTTCGTGGATCAGACTTTAAATTGTTTTTAAAGGTTCATTTTTTTTTCATTATATGTATATGAGAGACAGTATGTGCATTTGTGATTGCTGTTGGTGCTCACAGAATCCAGAAAAGGGCTTCAGATCTCCTGGAGCTTGAGGTACAAGCAGCTGTGAGCCACTCAACATGGGTTCTTCAAACTGAACACGGCAAGAGCAATACTCTTTTTTTGTGGGGGGGGGGAGGGAGTTTCGAGACATGGTTTCTCTGTGTAGCCTTGGTTGTCCTGGAACTAACTCTGTAGACCAGGCTGGCCTCAAACTTACAGAGATCCACCTGCCTCTGCCTCCCAACTGTTGGAATTAAAGGCATGCACCATCACTTCCCAGCCAGTATGTACTCTTAATGGCTAATCATCTCTCCACCCCGACTTCAAATTGTTAAGATATCAATACACCCTAAACTAATTAATCAGCAGACTTAATCAATGCACTTCTATACTAATCCTAGCTGCTACTTTTCTTCAAACTAGTCAAGGAATTCAAAATGGCTCAAACAACCTTGAGAGATGAGAATAAAGCCATAGGTCTCTTGTTTCCTAATTTCAAGACCTACTGTAAGCTATAGCAGTGTGGTCTGGCATAAGGGCTGACTTGTAATGTGATAGATTAGAACTGACAGTGCCGGCATAGCCTTAAATTTTATTATCAATTCATTTTCATCAGGGACACAGAAATTGCTCAATGAAGGAACAATGGTGTTTTCAAAACTAGTGCTGAGACAAATGGATACCCATGTGCCAAAGAATAAAATTGGGCCCTGCAGTATATAATACAGAAAATTACTTCAAAATGAATCAAAGGCTTAAATGACACTTTTTTTAAAAAAGATTTATTTATTTATTATGTATACAGCATATGTGACTGCAGGCCAGAAGAGGGCACCAGATCTCATTACAGGTGGTTGTGAGCCACCACGTGGCTGCTGGGGATTGAACTCAGGACCTCTGGAAGAGCAGTCAGTGCTCTTAACCTCTGAGCCACCTCTCCAGCCTAAATGACACTTTTAAGACAAAACGTGGGAGTAAATTTTCATGCTCTTGGATCAGGCAAATGTTTTTTTTTTTTAAATTACTCCAAAAGTAACAAGAGAAAAAAATTAATTGAACTTTATCAAAGTGGAAACCTTTATAATACAAAGAATGTCATAAAGAAAATTCAACCAGGTAGGTGTCACAAGCCTGTAATTCCAGCACCTGGGATGTGGAGACAGGAAAATCAGGAGTTTGGTTCCAACCTCATCTACAAAGCCAGCCTGGACCTGGCAGTTTGATCATGCTTCATTGGATGCTCTGACACCTACAAGTATATTAACAGCATGCTGTGGAGTCAATGGGTTATTAAATAAAAATTTTAAAAGAAGACACAAAGTTGGGGAGTTAGAGAGGTGGGGATGGATCTGGGAAAACCTAAGGGAGGTTAAGGGGAGAAGGTGAGGGTAAATATGATCAAAATACATTGTACGAAATTTTCAAAGAATTAGTTTTAAAAATTCAGAAAAGAGAAAAGAAAGCAGTAATACAAATGCACAGAAGAGCTGGGCGGTGGTGGTGCACGCCTTTAATCCCAGCACTCGGGAGGCAGAGGCAGGCGGATCTCTGTGAGTTCGAGGCCAGCCTGGTCTCCAAAGTGAGTTCCAGGAAAGGCGCAAAGCTACACAGAGAAACCCTGTCTCGAAAAACCAAAACCAAAACAAAAACCAAAAAAAAAAAAAAAAAACAAACAAATGCACCGAAGAATATTTGCACATTAAATATCTGATTGAGGACTTGTGTCTATAATATAGCTTTCAAGGCCTTAAAGCTCAGAGCTGGAGAAATGGTTCAATAGTTAAGAGCTCTTGCTGCTCTCTCCCAGAGGACCCGTGTTCAGTTCCTGGCATCTACATGGGTGCTCATAAACATCTGTAACTGTGGTTCCAAGGGATCAGACCCTCTTCTGGCCTCCAACGGCACTGCACACATGTGGTTCGTAGACATACATGCAGGCAAAACAGATATACACATAAAACAAAATAAATATTAAAAAAATAAAACCTTAAAGCTCAATAATTTAGAGAGAGATAACCCATTGGCAAGATGGATAGATGACCTAAATAAACATTTCTCTGAAGGGCATATTTGACTGAGCAATAAGCATGTAAAAGACATTTGCAGATGTTTGAAAGAAAATGGCCCCCATAAGGAGTGGCACTATTAGGGGGTCTGGCTTTACTGGAGTAGGTGTGACCTTGTTGGAGGAAGTGTGTCACTTTGAGGGTGGGCTCTGAGGTCTCCTTCCCTCAAGCTATGCTCAGTGTGAAACACAGCTGCTCTTGCTGCCTACAGATCCAGATGTAGAACTCTCAGCTCCTTCTCCAGCACCATGTCTGCCTGTATGGTATGCCGCCATGTCCAGCCATGAAGATAATGGACAAAACCTCTGAAACTGTAAGCCACCCCCAATTAAATGTTTTCCTGTAGAAGAGTTGCCACAGTCTGGCCAAACATTGGGCCAAGCCAGGGAGTCCTGCTGAGGAGAGGGAGGAGGGATTGTAGGAGCCATGGGGGTCAGGAACATCAGGGGAAACCCAAAGAAACAGCTAGCCCAGTACAGAGGATTGGAGGAGGGTTGAGGGAGGAGAGGAGGTAGGGGAGGCTGTGGTTGGTATGTAAAATAAATTAATAATTAATTTTTAAAAGAATAAAAATAAATAATAGTGAATTTTTTTCTTTTTTTTTTAATTTTATTTTATTTTACAATACTATTCAGTTCTACATAATAGCCACAGATTCCCTTGTTCTCTCCCCTCCTGCCCCCCTCCCCTTCCCCCCAGCCTACCCCCCATTCCCACCTCCTCCAGATCAAGGTCTCCCTCAGGACTGGGATCGACCTGATAGACTCAGTCCAGGCAGGTCCAGTCCTCTCCTCCCAGATTGAGCCAAGCGTCCCTGTATAATTCCCAGGTTTCAAACAGCTAACTCATGCAATGAGCCCAGGACCTGGTACCACTGCCTAGATGCCTCCCAAACAGATCAAGCCAATCAACTGTCTCACCTATTCAGAGGGCCTGATCCAGTTGGGGGCCCCTCAGACTTTGGTTCATAGTTCATGTGTTTCCATTCATTTGGCTATTTGTCCCTGTGCTTTATCCAACCTTGGTTTCAACAATTCTCGCTCATATAAACCCTCCTCTTTCTCGCTAATTAGACTCCCAGCGCTCCACCAGGGGCCTAGCCGTGGATGTCTGCATCCAGATTCCTCAGTCCTTGGATGGGGTTTATGGCACAACTATTAGGGTGTTTGGCCATCCCATCACCAGAGTAGGTCAGTCCCGGCTGTCTCTCGACCATTGCCAGCAGTCTTTTGTGGGGGTATCTTTGTGGATTTCTGTGGGCCTCTTTAGCTCTTTGTTTCTTCCTTTTCTCATGTGGTCTTCATTTACCATGGTCTCCTATTCCTTGTTCTCCCTCTCTTTTCTTGATCCAGCTAGGATCTCCCGCTCTCTTTCCCTCGCCCCTCGCCCTTCATTGCTCCCACTCATGTCCAGGCTGTTCATGCAGGCAAATGGATGGATCTAGAAAAAATCATCCTGAGTGAGGTAACCCAGACTCAGAAAGACAAATATGGTATGTACTCACTCATAGGAGGATGCTAGATGTGGAACAAGGATGACTGGACTGCTACTCACATCACCAGTGAGGCTACCTGGAAAACGGGACCCCAAGAAAGACACGGAGAAATGGATGAGATCTACATGAACAGCCTGGATAATAATAGTGAATTTTAAAAAAGTGTTGTCATGGTCATGGTGTCTCTTCACAGCAATAGAAACCCTAAGACAATATTCCTCATCAATAGCCACTGGGGAAATGGAAATTAAAACCCTAGAAAGACACCATTTCACACTCCCACAGTGCTATGCTAGATTCTTCATAGACTGCTGAAATAATGAGCTACTGGTTTACCTACAGGAACATGGGTGACTCATGGGTTGTTTTACCACCAAAACCCCACCCCAACTCAACCTTCTGCCCCTCATATATCCCACCACCCACAAGATCCTGTGCAGCCGGGTCTGGAGGGAATGGTGACTGGACTCTCAGACCAAGGACTGGAGAACCTCCCACCTCCCTCCTTCCATGGGGGAGTGTTAATGGCCTCATTATCCTGGACCTAACTCAACAGCTATATAATATCTACAATAGGATAATAGCAGCATAATATGGTTATGATAGGGTAATTGGCTTGTCCTAGACTTAGCATTGTCTGATTATGCTTTTGTCTTGCCTGTGATCAAGGTCTTCCCAAATCACCATACCTGCCCAGCTTCAAGATGGTGATGCTCATGTCAAACCTAAAGAAAACAGCTGCACTGCACACATCATCTCAGATCAGCCTTGAAACAGTATGAAGCATATGGTGATGTAATCCAAGCAATCAGGAAGCTGAGGCAGAAGGATTTGGAGTTCAAAGTCATCCTCATATATACAAGACACTTCTAAAAAAAAAAAATGCTGGGCGGTGGTGGCACACACCTTTAATCCCAACACACTGGAAACAGAAACAGGTGGGTCTCAGAGTTTGAGACCAGCCTGGTCTATAGAGGTAATTCCAGGATAGCCAAGGCTACACAGAGAAACTCTGTCTTAAAAAACAAAAAATAAAAACAAAAATTAAAAAAAAAAAAAAAAAAGGCCCTCAAATCAAATTCCTAGGAAGAAGGTATTATTGGCCTGCATCTCGAATAAGAAAACCAGAAAGGCCAAGCTCAGAACATATCAGCTCTGTATCCCAAGTCACACAACTCTGCCGGGACACATCAGGACTCAACCCCACTTCTGTCAATTCTATTGCTACTGCCCTTCCCCCACACCACTTCTGATGCCAGGATCCCAGGATCCCAGGCTTGGGCCCTGGGGACTGTGTGCCCTACCCACCCCCCACTCTTGTCCTCTCCCAAGCCCCAAGCTGCCGGCTGGGTTCAGAGTTTCTGTTCATTTCCCTTGCCAGCCAGTCTGTGAACAAAAGCTAATCTTGGCAGAACACCTCCCTGGCTCCATTCGTTATGGGAAGGAATTCTACTGCCAGAGAAGTACACTGTGTCTAAGGAAGCCCTGGAGGTCCCGGGGGAAGGGAAATGCTCTCCTCTACAAATGGGTCAGGCCAGAGACTTCGGCCTACCTGCCTACCTACCAGAGACCCTTCGAGGGATCGGGGCAAGAAGAGCAGGAGCCTTGCACAGGAGCTCATGGCCAGATCCCTCTCCCAAACAGACATCAGGACGAAGGGTCACAGTGGAACAGCAGAGGGACAGCAGGCAGGGGACAGTGGGGAGAGTCAGGAGCTCCGGCTTGCCCTGGAAGTTCACAGACTGGATGTCTAACCCCTTCCCAGGCCTACCTGCTCCCATTCCCCTTCTGTTCCTTAGCAGCAGGAGGGCTGGGTTAGGAGAAGGGGCTTTTCCTAGGGGACAAGACTGTCATGGGGGAAGGTGGGATAAAGAAGATGAGGGGTGGGCTGGAGGGATGGCTCAGTGGTTAAGAGCGAATACTGCTGCTCTTCCCGAGGACCTGAGTTCCATCCCCAGCAACCACATCACATCGGGCAGTTTGTAACTGCTTATAACTCAGCTCCCAGGGGGATCTGACACTGTTGGCCTACACAGGCACCTGCACACACTTACACATATATACACAGATTAAATATATATATATATATATATTTATTTATTAAAAAAAAAAAAAAAAAAAAAAGAAGATGAGGGGTGGGTGGAGTCAGTCATCACTGTCAACTCACCTGACAGGTCAGGCTCTAGTGCAGGGCTGCCTTGCTTGGCTGAGTCAATCAGGCCAGAGGCGGATTGGTGGGATAAGGGCCAAATATTGCCAGAGTGGTGTGGCTCCTTCATAAAGAGAGGATGAGCTGCTGGGACTTCAGCATGAGTTTCGCAGCCATGGCCAAGATGAATGGTAAGTGGGGTCTTCCTCCAGGTCTGGAAAAGACCGAGCCAGGAAGGGTTAGACACCAAAACAGGCACAGGCACTGGATGGGAGAGGGACATGGGTCCACAGGGCGGCCGCAGGTCTGAGGACATCTCAGCCGAGGGCCATATAAGAGTATATGATAAGAACGGAGGCAGAGATTTGGCTTCAGCAGGACCTGGGGATGGGTCAGGGTGTCGAAAATGAGTTCAATGGAGGGGGATCTGGAGGAGGGGTCTGGGGGTGGGATCCACTCAAGGCAAAGTACAGAGGGACCAAGAAACAAATGCTGATAGCTCAGGGGAAACTATACGGACTGTAGACTGGATAAGAAGGTTAAGGTAGATCTGTGGGGTGGGGAGAGGGATTGAGGTTTATGGCGTCTCTCCTTTGGGCTTGGCGATGTCTCGCCTCTTTTCTGGTGAGTTGTCCCAGCGGAAAGCTGTCTCTGCAGTGGGAAGGGTCTGATGCACCTCCTTGGCTGGTGGCTTCAGTTGCCTTGACATCAGAAAGACCAAACTAAGGGAGTTCTCAGCAGCCAGAAACTCAGCTTCTGGGAGGAGCTCAGAGTTCCAGTCCTTGCCTGGTCCACTTAGGAGCAGGTGACACAGAGGATAGCCTCTTCATGTCAGACAAGACTAGCTAACTGTGAAAAAGAAAACCAAGGCACTCAAGACTTGTGTGGTAGTCATCAACTATCTGAGTGATGAGTTCTAATCTCGGTATCACATTATAAACCTGGGGAGCCTGGAGAAACATCGATGAGGCTGGAGAAAACATAGGGACTGCCTGCCTGTTTCCCACAGGTCACTTCTCACTCCCACTCAGAGAACTGAACCTATTTCTCTCTCTCTCTCTCTTTCTCTCTCTCTCTCTCTCTCTCTCTCTCTCTCTCTCTCTCTCTCTCTCTCTCT